ATCGGACAACACGAAAAACAGCCGCTTGGCGAAGCCCATCACTTCCGGCCACTCATGTTCGTTTTAGTCTTCGAGGAGCACATTTCCAACACCGTGCAGAAGACCGAGGCACTACTCGCGCGGGTATCTACGGTCTTCCAAGAATCAGCTAGGATCCGCGTTTACCTGCCAACCCGGTTCAGATACGCCGCATCATGGGCCTCCTCGAATGAGGTCAAGGCACCGGGGTCCGAGGGTACCGAAGACGATCCGGATCGCGTCAGCGCCGACGACGTTACCAAAGCAGCACAAGAGAAGCTGCGTGTTACCCGCGGATTCCGCACGAAGCCACGCCCTCCTCTCAGTCGAGCCATCCTGGGAACCTACCACTGGTTTACCTGCGATGAAGGCCTGTATGCCATACGTATGGTTGTCGTCACGATTGCCCTGGGCATTCCGGGCGTGATCCCTCACAGTGCGGGTTTCTACTACCGTGAGAAGGGACTTTGGGCGCTGATCATGGGGCAGACGGGTCTGCTCGTGTACATGGCGGATTTTACCTTCTCCTTGATCGCAAGAATCATTGGAACCGTCATCGGCGGAGTTTTGGGGCTGCTGGCTTGGTATATTGGCTCCGCAAATGGCCCGGGCAATCCGTATGGGCTGTCTGCTATCACCGCCGCAATCCTAGTCATCCTTGTCTGGATTAGGCTATATCTGCCGCCGGCCCTGATGCAGGGAGGTATCATCGGTGGAGCCACATTCCTGCTAGTCATCGCGTATAGCTACGACGACACGTAAGTTTTTCCCTCAACCCTATCAAACCACCCACTAAAAACTTTCCAGCCACATCCCCCAGTACGGCAACCCAGGAGTAGGCTACAACGTCTTCTGGCGACGTCTACTCCTCGTCCTCGTCGGCGTCGCCGCATCCGCCATCCTGCAAACCCTCCCCCGGCCACCATCGGCCTCCCGACACGTCTGTAAAACCCTCTCCCGCGCCATGCGCACCCTATCCACGCACTACGCCCTCCTCCTCACCGTCTGGGCCCAAAACTCCACCGAAGGTAGGAGGCTCGCCGAACCTCTCTCCCTGCAACTCGCCGAAACCCTCGTCGCACTCGATGGGCCCATCAAACTCCTCAGCTTCGAATTCTCCAGCTCGCGCTTCGACAGCGCCTCCCTCGCCAAAGTGAACTCCCTCTGCCGCAGCCTCAACCGCCAGCTCAGCCGCCTCCTACTCCTCTCTTCATCCCTGCCTCAGGAATTCCAAGAGCAACTAGCTCGGCAGACGGGACTCCTGGACCACCGCCTCATCGGCCAGGTCATGGCGGTGATGGGTCTCTGCGAACAGGCCCTGAAAACGGGCGACGCGTTACCGGAGATCCTTCCGACGCCGTTGTTCAAGCAGGCAGTGGATAGTTGGTCGAGGGGACGTCGTGGGCAAGAAGAGCAGGTTATTTCGGGGGAGATGATGCGCGATGAAGGGTATAGACGGTTCTGTGTGGCGGCGAGTGCATACTTTGGGTTTTTGATCACCGTAGATGAGATGGTGTTGGTCGTGAAGGGGGTGTTGGGAGAGGCGCATTTGGTGGGGGGTTTGGGAAGTAGGGAAGGGGGGTGGTTGTTGGGAGATGCGGAGGTGTGAATAATCAACCATCCCCTTTGATTAGAATGGGAGTTATACCCAGAGAAGAGGAGTATATCAGTTTGCAGTGTTACTATATATGCATATAATAATAGTATAGAGTGGCATGATTCGTGAAGAGCCATCCATCACCCTTCACTAAACCATAAGAACCACAATAACTATCTCAAATACTGTCTCTACCATCATACTCCCAGTACCATTTACAGGTAAAAAATAAATCGACCATCCAATGCAACCCAGTAAAAATAATATCCAACGAGACCAGACTAGACTAGACTAGACTGACAAGACTGCTGCTAGCACTAATAGTATGTATCTATAACCTAGATAAACAACTAGAAGTAAATAAAGTTAACTTCATCAACAGCTACTACTAGCTGCTAGAAAACAACTGAAACTCCAACCTGATGGTATGGGAAAATAATAAAAGAAGATATTAAATAAATTTGAACCATTTCAAGTCCGGCAGGCAGGCAAGGGTATATAATATAATATAAAGCTAAAGATTTCCCTACTCAACTTGAGTTTAAACTTTATAAACCTTACATAACCTTTCTTGAAACTGTAATTGGGAATTCATTGAAAAATGTTTAGTAGTATTTCTAGGATGGGTGGAAAAAGCTGCTTGGTTTGTGTAAATTTTGAGAAAAGAAGTGATATGGTCACTTACTACGTAGATTAATCAACTAACCAACTAACTATGACCCGCAATTTCTATTGTTTTTATTTGAAGATGGCGAGAGACTTAATCAATAAGAATACTTTGTCTTTACTTAACCCAGATTTCACTTTGCTCTACTACGAAATATTACTCACGTGAAACTGAAAACAGTTGTGGATGTCTTAGTGAAGGGGGAGTTGAAGATTTGGTGATGTTGGGAAGGTAGGGAGGGTAGTTCAGATATAGCAGGGACAAGAAACAAGAAAAAATAATCTATCCTAATAAAGATGGTAATTATAATATATCCACAGGGAACCAACCAATCCATGTGTGGATTATTATTCCGTCCTACCCCACTTCATTTCATCCCATCCGTAACGCCAGGTGACATGATTCCCAAGCCAGATAATTGTCTAATGCTATGTTCCTTCATACGTCGAGGGTTCAATTGGGATGCTGTACCCCGGCACATACGGTCGTTCAGTAGTAGCCGTGTATAGAGGCATTATGGGTGTGGGTGCCGGCTCTGCCGCCACCGCCGCGGTCACTGTGGGCAGGGAGGAGGATGATAGTTGTTGCACCGTCGGCCTAATAGGCATGGGAAGGCCATCCCAGCCAGTTGGTACGCTTTGCAGCTCTGCTTTGTACTTGGATAACCGATGGAATCGGTCTTGTACATTTCGCCACCGCCAGTCCGTCAGTAGTGTGTCATCTGTGAAGAGTGTACCTAGCTTTGTCGCTTGCTCGAGTAGTCGGGTGAGGCCCTGCAAGATTTCCGGTTCCCAGCATTGGAGTTGTTTGGGTGATATCAGGAAGAGCGCGTCGATAGCGCTGCCGCAGGCGGCCAGACCGGCCATGTAGGAGTGGACGCACGACTGAATGCTCGATCGAGGGAGCGCCTGAGTGGTGGAGACGTGGACGAGAACGGGAAAGCTGCGGGTATAAAAGGCGAGGCAGTCGGCGAGGTTCTGGACGAGATCGGCTGTGACGGGAATGGTTTCCATGCGGGGGAACAGCAGGTGGATGAGCAAAGTGCGGTACGCGGTGAGGATCCGTGTCTGGGCGACCTGGTCTTCCATGTTGGCTTCAATAATCTGCACGTTGCGCGCCAGGACAGCGCGGGCTTCGTTACACAAATTGCCAATGTCAACCTTGTAGAGCTGGATGTTGCGCAATTGCTCGTGTAGCTGACTTTGCCAGGAGTGGTGAGGATGAGCTATGGGTGACGTAGGCCCGCTAGCCTGACGCGGGTAGATTGAGTTGAGGTGAACAGCCGCGGAGGTGATGTGGCTGATGGTCCAGATTTCCTGGATCCAGGCCCACTGGTGAGGGAGCGTGGACAAGTTGTCGGCCGCCTTGTCAAGTCGTAACACCAAAGACGCGTCCTTGTTCATGGGCGGGTGCTCATACATCATCGCGAGCGCTGGCAGACTGTCATCTACAATCCCCAAGTGTGTAAAATACCAGACCATCAACGCGAGAGTCATCCACCCCAGAATGTGCATCATCTCCAACTCGATCTGAACCAGGTCGACGCCGTTGATCTGTCGGGCATCGCGTGAGGACCGGGCCAAGGTGTCCATTGTGAGGCGGGTTACGGTACGGTTCGCGTAGATGCTGTAGGACATTGCTCGGATAATGTTTCCCTGACATGTCTCGTGCCAGGCCAGCAAGCTCAGCGCCTGCGCGGTCGACAAGTCGGCCGCCGCCGTCGAAATATACTGTAGGCGAGAAGTCGCCCATTGCAGGAGTTTCTCGGATTCCACCTGAGCGTCTGTATCCTCCAACTCCTGCAGACCGCCCCCTAGCACGACGGCGAGGAGTAGAGGGTCGTAAGAGTTGCTGCGGACGTCACGCAGCAGCAGCGTCTTGGAAAGGGCCATGGACAACGGATGTGCACCAAACCACACATCTAGGATCTGGGTGATGCGGTATCCGTTGTATGCGGTCAGCGGCGCCGGTTCGAGCGTAGGGGACGGTTCGTGGGGAGTGCTGGACGCCAGGTTGGCTCGGAAGAATTGGCTCTGATTAGCGAAGCAGGCAAGGCAGTCGAGTCCGCTGAAACGGGACACTGTAGCGTCGATAATATCCTGGGTCAGTATCATGATGAGCCCACGACAGCCCAGCTTAGCCGGCTGCTGGCGAGGAGAACCGGTCTGGCTCCATGGCATCCCATCAATCCTTTGACCTTGTAGCTTCTCCTGAATTTCGGCCGTCACCTCGGAAAGAGCATCAGCAACGCTCTTGAGACGCGGCGAGTAGAGCTGACCGGCCGCGGCGGATGACGGACTCGAAGGCGATGTCCACGGAGCCTGTTTCATGGTGGGCTCGGGCCCCGGCTGGCCAGCTACCAGGCAACCGGTAGTGCGCGCCCCAGTGACCCGGGGACGACCTTTCGGGCCGCCCTGATCATAGACACATTCAATCTGGCGATCCTTGCAGGCGCTACAGACGCTGGCGCCTGAGCAGCGGAGCTTGCGACTGCGGCAAAAGCGACAGCTGCGTCGCCGGTCCGTCGTCGCAGGAGTCGGGTGCATCTTGGCTTCGACGGGGGAGCGATGTGGCCATAACGGGGTGCCCATTGGGTGGTTCAGCTGACACTGACGGACGGGCCGCTCGAAAGTTTCTCGTTCGCCCGAAGAAAGAAGATGATGGCAAGAGGGTTTTGTTGGCTGGGCGGCTAAGCCGACATTCTCTCCATGGACTTTGATTCCCAAGACGCAGGGCGGGTCGTGATGTCAAGCATTCCCAACAGCACATGAGAGAGTCCAGTGGGCGCTGCTGGGCTTCAGCCAGCCACGACGGACAGAGAATCCGGTCGGTATGTCTCCTGCCAAATGCCAAATGCCCACCTGCAGTGTTGCTTGACTCGTTTTGGGTTGTCGGAGCCATCCCATTGGGACCTTGACGATCAGTCCGGCTGCAAGGGGGTTGTTGCGCAACCATGGTTGCTTCCCTGTCATAGGCCAGCCCGGGTGATGTTCGGTCCTGCAGCCCTCCGGAGATGGAAATTGTGTTCAAGGGCTTCTGTCCACGATGATCGCTCTAAATTCAACGGTAGAAGATATAGATTAACTACAGATCTGGCGGTTTCCCTGGGGCTCAATCTTCCCCCTTGTCCTTCCCCATCTTTGCCAAGAGTTTATTTCATCTTCGTCCCCTTGTCTCTCTGTGTCTCTGTACGTGTCTCTCTCACTCTGTGTGGGGGGTGGTGTTCCGTGCCCTTGCAGATTCGCTCAGCCTTCCAATCCCTATCGGAGGAGAATGAGGAATGTGTCGGGTGTATTTTCCGACGCCCCCGACCGAAATAAATATGTATGTAGGTGTCAGGCCCCATCTTTCATGAATGGGCTCGTTCGTCTCCTCATTCAAAGGTGAAACCATCATAGCTCACCCTCCTCGCTGCCACCTCCCTCGTCCTCCGGTTCCGGGGCCTGAGGCGGCTCGGGTTGCGACGGCGGACATGGTTCCTCTTCCGGAGGTGGCGGCGGCGGCGGGAGTTGCTGAGGTGGTGGATGTGGATGCGCATCCTCCTGCGACAGTGGCTGGCCTCCTGTGGACATGGACGGTCGTCGTCGTCGCCCCGAGTCGGCCTCGGCATCCCAATCGCCCCGATGCCGTTCCTGAGGCCGTCGCTCCGCCCTGCCGGGCCCACCGCCCTGGGTGGGCATGTTCTGTTGCACGATCTCGTCAATCCGTTGCTGAATCGGATCGACAGGTAGCCCCGGAGGTCCACCCCCGGGGCGGCTGCCGCTGTCCCGTCGAGGGTGAGGCCGGGGAGGCGGTGGTAAGGGATGCGGGTGTCTGGTCGCAGGGTATGGGTGCGAATGATGTGCTGAAGGGGGGTGCCCGTTCGCAGAAGGGCGGTCGTGGGAGAAGGCCGGCCCGCCGCTGGGGAGGGGCGCCTTGGGAATACGAGTTGACGGGACTCGGTCAGCCGATGCTCCTACCGAGTCCCTCCGGGGTCGTTTTGGGGATGGGGCCCCGTTCTGCGTCGCTGGCCCTGCCTCTGACGGGGGTATCGAGTCGGCCAAAGGGCGTGGGGGCTTCGTTTCATCATCGGGTTCCCGCGAGCGCTTCCGACCGTTGACAGCGTCTGCCTCATGCCCGGAATCGATCGGACGTGTCGTGTTGTCCGCCGGGCCATCCACGCGCGGGATCCTGGTCTTCTCAGTACCCTCGTCTGTGCTGATGGGGTTGGTCAAGTAGTACAGGCCGTTTCGATGCGCGGCGTTGTTCTCATACAGCTTTGCCATGCGCATACACGCGCGACGCACCTGGGTCAAGTCCACCTCAAGCTGTTCCCACCACGGCCGGCCCAGCACATCGTCTTCAAAACCAATGTCACAGTGCTGGGCCGCCGCGTATAGTGCGGCGGCCGCAATGATGCGGGCGGTAAACTGCAGGCACAGCACCGTGTATCCGGAATCATTGACGAAGGCCCATGCGACGTTACGGAGCGGCTTGTTGTCTTGCATGCGGAAGAAGCAGATGAAGTCATAGAGGATGCGATACGGTTGCTCGAGCTGCAGATCGAAACACAGCGCTTCCAATAGAACATCTTCGTGCACCAGAATAGTATCGCGCCAGCGCCAAAATTCCTTAGATTGTTCATCCACCACCATGTTCGGCTGCTTCTGTCCCACCCGGCAGCATGCTACCACCAACTCTTTCATCCGCCGTACGTTCTCCTCCACCTTTGTAGCTAGAAACAGAGCCGCCGCGGCTGTCGTGTAAGGATGTATGCCCGGTCGTTGAGGTAAGTCGACCATACTGTGTCGCATATAGAATCGGTGCAAATAAACGGCGGCCGTTGCGAGCGTAAGTTGCGGTAGCTTCAGCATAATTCCTACCTGGTTAATAAAGTTGACACCTTTGCTGCGGCTCATATGCTCGGCCTCCAGAGCCATGCCATCTAGCTGCGATGGCGTCCGTGTAAGCTCCTCATCGGTAAATATCCAATGCGCCTGGGTTGCAAGGAGGACGGAGTTCGACGGGGCAGGAACCGGCGGGAGTTCAGAAGGATGGGCTGCGGAAGACGCCATCGGGGACAGGTGGAAGCGGAAGCGATGAACTTGGAGGTTTGAGTCTTGGGTGGCGAGCTGTGTGAGACTCTACTATCCCCAGCAAACTTGGAAGAAAGCAAAGCTGCCAGTGAGAACAGAGGAAGGCCTAGGAGCTCGCGTCGACCCGGGGCCGAAGTGAAAGAGACAACAGAGGGATCCACTCAGACGAACTGATCGCGCACAAAGGGCCAGCTGGGACCAGCGCAGTGAAACGGCCTCCTGCTAGTCTGTAGTTTGTCCTACTTTATTTCCGATCACCCAGAGTCCTGAGATTACCGAGGCGTGTTGATCATCGCGGGAGAGGCCACTGCATCGCATGCATCGGAAGCCGGTGATTCGGGAAGCCAATCGCACCCACAGGATGTCCGGACCAGGTGTGGAGGATTGGGAAGTCACAGTTGTCAGAGAAGCCGGTAGAGACGGGCAGAAGATCCGAAAACAGAGGGAGAGGAGAGCGATGGGAGGCAGCTAGTTCTGAGTGCAACAGAGAGAGAGCAAGAGGAAGAGAGATAGACTCCTTTCTCACTTGGGACTTGCCTTTTCCTTTTGCTGTGGCACTTTTTGGCGACTGACCGCCCAGCCAATGACCGCCGGCTTTTCGGATCATCCCGTTGTTCCGGGCCCCATGGATCGTCGCTTCGCTTTTCGGAGACATTCACATCTATATCTTTGGCGTATTATCAATATTATTATCATGGCTAAGATTAGTGCTATTGTCTTTGTTATTACTGATATCATATGATACGATGAAGACCCCTGGTATTCTGATCCTTTCCCGTGGTCAAAAACTCCAAATGGCGCCTTGCTTTGCTGGTATATACGCAAACACGGGGGAGCCATGTCCCCAAAGAGAAATACGAGAGATATTAGCAAACATGCTACACGGTAGACCCTTCCATCCCCTTATTCCTCCTCACTGACTTCGCTCTCATCTTCACTGGCCATATGATACTGCTGCGACACTGCTTGTGTTGGAACTGGTTGACTCCGGTCGTCTTCCTGTACATCCTCCTCAAACGCCGCCTCCATCTCCGCCGCAAGGGGATCATCATCAACCTCCAACTCCTCCTCATCCAACCCGGGCTCCAGGTTTAGGCCGCTCGAGGCCACCGGCGCTCCTCCGTGGCCAGCCGGAGAGGGGAGCCGTAGGTCCTCAATGTCCTCATCCTCCTCCTGCTCCTCGTCCTCATCCCGATTCCCTTCTTCATCCGCCGGGGTGTTGTTCGAAGAGAAGTATGCGGGATTGACCCGGTAGGGACGAGGAGGCGGCGGAGAGCCCATATCAATGATGAGATCGCCGTCGATGATGATATTCGAGCCCGGTGATGGAACTGCCTTTTGAGAAGAGACAGCACCAAGGCCCGTGTCGGACGGCGAGGAATTGAATGTCTCCACTAAAGGCTCCTCCTCGACCTCTGCCTTCCGCTCCTCCCTTGGCTGGACAGGACGGGGCGGAGACCTGGGCCGGGGCCGAGCAGCCGCCGGTTTAGGAGGCTTGACCCCGTCTGGCTTCTTCTTCTTCGCATTTACAGGCTTCGTCCGGCTCTCCGGGGGTGGTTGAGGGCTAGGGATGGATCTGGTAGCGGACATTAACGGAGTATCGAGCTTGCTGGTGTAGGAGGGGGGTTCTGGTGTCTTGTCCGAGCCCGACTTGTCATCGTCCGCATTCTCCTTGGGGAGGAAGTGCCGGTAGTCATAGGGATTGCTGTCGTCAGCAGGGCCATCATCATTACCGCTGGCATTGTCCATGCCCCGATCATCACCCGACCCATGGTCCTCTTCCTGCAAAGTGCGTAGCTGCTCATATTGCTCTAGCACCTGCTTTTGGGATTTGGCCGGAGCAGAACGGAGATTGAAGTTCAGCTGCGTTGAAACCGGCTCCAAGACAAACACTTTCCGCGCCACGTCAAAGACTAGCACCAAATTATGTTCCCCAGCATCCGAAACAGCTTGTGTTGGGTCAACACTGCCTTGGTATGAATAGGTCAGGACATTATCGGCGTTGGGCGCTTTATCGGTGATTGTGAGGTTGTAGCGATCGCGGGACTGTCGAGCTCGGGTGATGCGTTGCCGTGCGGTCGCTGACTTGGTCTTGTAGTTATATTGGATATTGACAAGCTGCGACTGTGGCGAGCTGGATTTACCATTGAGTCGATCACCCAGCACGATGGGATACTCAGCCTGTTTGGTCGGGTCGATCAACCCGCCGGTAGACAAAGCGGGGGCCGCCATCCAGACGAGGTGGAGGATCAGGGTTAGAGAGAGGATATAATGCAGAGGAACGGCCGCTATTCTTCAGATAGCTTTGGTGCACGCTTTCAGAGAGAAATCTTCATTGCTGAGAAGAATGCGGTGTCTAAAACGCCAGCAGGCCCTGTAGGCAAGGGAGAACGTCACACAGCAGCAGCGGCGGCGGCGGCGGCAATCGAAGGGGCCAATGTGACCGGCAAGCCAGCACCGATCATGAAGCAACGGCTGTGTCGAAGCACTAAGAAACCAGGGCAGTATATATATAAGGGAAAGTTCTGTGGAAAAATCCCCAGGAAAAGATACAGAGAAAAATGGGGAAAAGTAGACCAAGGATGTTGCCGAAAGCAGGTCTTGAGGGAGAAGGAGAGGTGAGGAGGGAGGATGAGATGAGATGACGGCCGGACCAGCAACCCGGGCGGAGGCCTTGCTCCATTCGGTTAGTGCCGCCCGGGGAGGCCCGAACTTCCCCTTTCGAAGGGGACGAGCCAAAGCAAATGCCGTCTCCAAGAATAGCACTTTGCACAGCCTGTGGAAGAAGTGGTGAAAGATTCTTTAGGGCATCTACCACTCAAATATCTCCTTGCATGGGCAAGGCTTGTCGCGACGGATGTCCTTTCGCCGAGGACCCGGGAGTTGCACCTCCTGTCAGCTGCTCTAATCGTCCTGCCAAGGCTCTGTGTTTCCGAGTCACTTGCTCCCATTCATAGGCCAAGTCATCGTCATCGGCATCGTCGTCCTCTTGCTCCTCATCCGCTGCCTCGCTGAGCTCGGTCAGAATCATGCCAAAATCACCCCCCAGTCGACCCAAGCTGGCAGCACAGTACAAGACCTGGGTCAGGAGACTCTCTCGGGAGCTTTTATCCCGGACGTTGGGGAGATAGGTGCGCAAGGTGTCCGTCAACAGTTGTATTAGGTGCATTGGGAAGGTAGCAAGTGCCGGTGGAAGACACTGGAGTGGATCCTCTGGGTGAGAGGGTTGCGATGCCGCAGCTTTGATCCGCGCATCGATGCCCCGTAAGCCGGTCACGGCGAGCTCTGACTCCGATTGATCTGGAGTGAAGATGTTCTTGTAGAGAGAGACGATTGCAAAGCTCTGCTCGCGAAAGATCTCGATATACCGTTTCAGATACTTCTCCGTCTGGTGTCCTTCGGACCAAGTCCCCGTCGCCCCACTCTTCTTGTCTGTGTTTGGAGCCCTGCGCTGTGTCTCCTGATCGGCCAGCTCCCGTAGAGGATCCAGAGCTTCTAGCATCGTGATCAAATTCGCCAGCCTGCAGATCAGAAAAATAGCCCCCAATGCGCCCTCCGCCGCAGCCGGTGATCCTTCGTGGTGGAGGTTATCAAGTTCCGGTGCCACCCTACGCAGCCAACCCACCGTCCTCATAGCAGCTGCTAGTCGCAAGTTCTGTGCCCGAAGACCTGCGATCAGATTCGACGTCATGTCCTTCATAGCATCCTCGGCCTGGGAGACTACATCTTTGATGAGCGGCGAATCGGGATAGAGTGTCTGTAACCGCTTGATATGCGCGTACAGATCCAATGCCGTAGAATACGTCGTGGAGACCGAGCTACCTGCCGTTGCCGAATTAGCGGCCGCGGAAGAGACAGCTGTTGCGAGCAGCGTGGGGAGCTCGAGGATATCGGACAGCCGGTCGACGTTCCGCGCCAGCTGCATAACCTTCTTCCGTTGCTCCAGAGCGACATTCTCCGCTGCTCGGCTGTATTTGGACGAGAATCGGACTGCCTCTTCATCGAGTTTCGGAACCGCATCTCGCAGTTGCTGTGCGTTCCGGGCCAACTGGGGGATGGACGCGCGGAGATTGGACAGGCCATCTGCGGAGGTGACAAAGGCCTTGTGGGAGCGATTTGACAGAGCTTGCAGCGACAGAAGGGTAGAATGAGAGGACTGAGTTAGGGATTGAGGTTCCGTGGACTGTAATGCTTGGAGGGAGAGCGTAGGGAGACGATTCAGGTATTGTGCGGTGGTTGTATCACGATCCGGATCGGAGAGGGCGGTGGCAGCCTTCGTCGAGGCCAGATGAGGGGCTAGGAGATCATATAGATAATCAGCCATCGTGAGAGTCGGCTTCTTCGTCGCTGAGAGCCGGGATGGTCGGCAATGGAGGGTAAAGGGGAGCGCGGAAGCGGGCGATGATGAGCAGGAGGGCGAAACAAGGCCAGATTTAGCTGTGCCGCAACTACTACTGCTCCGTACGGTGGCCTCGGCGACAACTGGCGAAGGGCCATCCCTCTCTTTTTCCTGGGAAAGCTAGGTGCTAGATATTGTATGAGGGTGGCGTATGAAGAGGTACATCATTGTTGTTAGTACTACTTCAATCCATTCTATCAGATACAGCTTATCATGGTCCCTAAGGAACGGGGATTCCTAAACTACTACAATGTGAGGAGAGAGAGATGCTATGGAAGGATGTACCCTATTGATTACGGGCCGGTAATCAAGGTGGTAATACGTGATACCAAACTGTAACAAACCCGACCAGCGCCGACTGACATCATGCGCTGTGCTAACCTGATCGGGTGATTTCTAGATGCCTGGGGCCAATAGCAGTGCTGGATTTGGCAATTCTCCCCTACTCCGCAATCATCTCTCCTCTTTTCTCTCCTCCTTTCGAGTCCCAGGTCACTGACTCGCCTCATCCCTCTTTCATTTCTTCTTCTTCTCGCGGTCGCTTCCTCTTTCCCGTTACTCTATCTTGCTGGCTTGTGTGTTTTGTGCTTCAGTGACCTGATCGCTAGCCTACCTACATACATCAGGTCGTTATCGCGGTGGGCCTGTCTTACTGATCTAGCATCGTAGCGCTTGCTTTTTCCCCTCAACCCCACTTCCACCCAACTACTTCTGCATGCAACAGTAGATGTCTAGTAAGTAATCATGGGCAAGCCGCGGGTCAGTTATTCCTCCCCCCGAAACTATCACTGTTTTCAGTACAATGTCTCACTATGTCTGACTCTGGCAGATGATCATCTTGATCCGCCATGCCCAATCGGAAGGAAACAAGAACCGAGAAATCCATCAGACTATCCCCGACCATCGAGTGAAACTCACCCCCGAAGGACACCGTCAGGCGCAGGAAGCTGGCTCCCGCCTGCGTACCCTTCTACGACCGGATGATACCATTCATTTCTTCACCTCCCCATACCGTCGCACCCGAGAGACAACGGAGGGTATCCTGCAGTCCCTGTCCTCAGATTCTCCGGCCCCGTCCCCTTTCCCAAGACATACCATCAAGGTCTACGAGGAACCCCGGCTGCGGGAGCAGGACTTCGGGAACTTCCAACCATGTTCAGCCGAAATGGAGCGTATGTGGCTGGAAAGGGCAGACTATGGTCACTTCTTCTACCGAATTCCCAACGGTGAATCTGCTGCCGACGCCTACGACCGCGTCAGTGGGTTCAACGAGTCGCTGTGGCGTCTGTTCGGAGAGGACGACTTCGCCAGTGTCTGCGTGCTCGTCACGCATGGATTGATGACGCGGGTTTTCCTCATGAAATGGTACCATTGGAGTGTGGAATACTTCGAAGATCTCCGCAACATCAATCACTGCGAATTCGTCATTCTGAAACTCAACCCAGACAACGGGAAATACGTCCTCCAGAATCAGCTACGTACCTGGTCCGACCTGCGGAAGGAGAAAGAGGAAGAGCGACAGCGTGAGCGGGCAGCCAAAGGACTGGATCCAGTGCAGCCAGCACCACCAGAGACGTCAGTCCCTATCCGTCGCAAATGGGGTGGTTGTCCTGATGGATGCAATCACGGCGTCCGAAGACGAAGCTCTCTACGTACGCCCCGTGCACACAACGCAGACCATCCAAAGCATCAACATGACCCTCAGTCGAAGGAGACAACAACACACAGCGCTACTCACAACCACAGATCTCACGGGAACCAAAACGGCCACCCAAGACCAGTCCCGGCTGGTACGGGGACAGCCACTCCGGTTGACCAGCAGATGCTCAGAGCCCCGGAGCCAGCTTTGGGAGATCGTTCTATCGATGCAAGGCCTCTTGAAAGGACCTTTCCTTCCCCAGCTCCGCAATACGAGTTCGAAGGTGTACAGCTTGAAACCACGTCCACCTCTCAGGCAACTTTCCCGACACCCGTTGCATCCACCACCACTATCAGTCACCTGAGCCAACCAACCTCAAATCCCAGCCCAATACCCCGCCGCCCTGGCCTCGCCCATCTCCATCGTGACAGCGAAGACCACCTCCTCCATCCCCCGAACTGCAACTACGCTTACATCCATCTCGTTGGCCGCGACGGCGGCGGTTCCATGAGCGGCGCAAACAGCCTCGCCCCGTCGGAGGATGAACGCGAAGAGAAGCTTCGCCCCAGCATGCACGCTTATACCCATAATCACAAACAGACTCACTCCCGCCCTAAACCGACCCCCTCTGCCCACCAAGTTAGACCATCTCAAGACCTAGATAACGACGGCGACGACGAAAGCAGTTCCAAGCAGGCTGCGCGACCCCGACGTACCCGATCCCACAGCCACCATGTCCGAAACCCTCCGGGCCTGGCACGCCAAACCCTGAGCAAGCAAGTCGCCAACGCCCTCAACCAGGATCGAGCAGGCCAAGACGGATTAGATGATGAACCTCTCCCCACAGATTCTCCAACTTCGAAACCCGAGAACCAGCAAGTGGACGAACACAACCGTGAAGACAGCCTTTACGATGATCACGATCATGAACACTATCACCATCACGGCGACGATGAAGAGGACGATTACAACGAAGAAGACGCCTCGTTCGAAGCTGAAAGAAAACACGACCAGAGCATAAGGGGCAGTGTATACTAGCACAGACCTACGCCAAACTTTTTCTCTCTATACCCATATACAAGCAAACATACAAGACAGTCAACCTACCTACCCTACAACCTCATGCCGCCGCCGTACATACATAACCTTCTAAACCCCTTTCACCTTCATGTAGTTAAAACCTAGATTTCCTCCTTCACGATGTATGTACAACCCACGTCAGACACGCCACATCTTCCCCCTTCCCCCCAACAATCTATCGACTTACCATGTATTTCAATGAATGAATGAACACGCACATCGACAGATACATACCATAGGGCAACCAATCAATCAAATAATAATTCCAATTATCCCAATACTACATACATACATACTAACTGGTCTTATTATGTTCCCTGCTCGTGCTAGCTTACTTAACTTTATTCTCGCATTAGATTCACGATAATAGAGTTCTACTCATTGAAACAAATTAGTACTTGCATTTCGGTTGTGGTATCTTTCTCCTTTTTTTTACTTTCAAGGTGACTACTACTTTCTACAGGGATTAAAGGATAGATGTCAATACATTTTTGTCATTATTTCGTTATGGGTATCATTGTGGTTTTTTATTTTGTGCTTTGCTGTGAAATAGAAGTTCATTAACAAGATCTCTGTTTCGTTTCTTTGCCAAGGTTTGGAATGTTAGTGAGAGCAACTGGTTAGTTCAGGGATCAATGGAAAATACACCTTGCTTCACATGGGGGCAACATGAAGAAAAGAAATGTGAGACAGGTTTTACATATACATAGTAGTTACTTGGGAGGGAATAATGGAGAGCAGTATATATCAAATGGGATCCCTGTGCTTTTTTTTGTAAGGGAAGCTCGAAATGTCTTTGTCCCATATTTCTTGTGAATGATAATAGAAAAGTAGTGAAAGAATCTAACTTACATTCAGGGAATGAGCAGTGAGAAAGAATAAAAAGGAAACCACACAAGAGGGTGTTATAATCACCGGGAGGGGAATAAGACAAGACAAAGAGTAAATGTAAAACAAGGGGCATAAGGGGAGTATCACTTTTCAAATGCCTCACCAATGGTTTGAGGGTCGGGCGGAATAAACAAACATGCAAAATAAAAGAGGTCATCGAAGGTAGAACAAACAAATTCAGGTAATGTTACAACCGAGAGCGCACCTCCACAAACACGAAGCCCGCAGTAATGTACTCTGGTCGCATCACAAAAAGTAAAAAAAGGATCTGTCGACCGGAACAGATGAGTATGAGAAAGAAGAGAAAAAGAAACAGATTAAAGGCAACCGAACAACAAAAGACAAGGTATTAACGCCACGGGACTCAAATGGAGCGTGCGTGAGAAGAAAGCCAAATGTACCAACTTGACAAGCGTCAAGGAACAAACACAATCTATGAGTAACAGTCGCCAGATGAAATGCCCAAATCCAGAGAAAATGAGGAAAGATCGAACAGGTCAAAGAGGGAGGATGGAGAAGGCAACGGCGAAGCACAGGCGAAAACGCAGAGAGAAACAATCGTAATTGTCGTGACATCTGACTCCAGAGCTTCAGTGCAAGGAATCTCTTGGAAGAACTTTTCGACACGATGAGAGGAGTGTTTCGTAAGAAACAAATCGTATCGAGATAGGAAAGCGGAAGGCAAAGAGAAGAAGAAAGGAAGATAAGTGTCACATCGTGCAGAAATGCGCAACCGGTCGGACACTTTTTTTGGGAGTTTTTGCTTTTCGGAAAGCATGAAAGACAAAGGAGGAAAAAGGCGACCGATGGGACTTTTCAGCGAAACACAGACGTAACCGAAACTGACCAAAGAAAACGGGTAGTCATGCAGAAACACGAAGGAAACACGGTATCATCAGTAACGGAAAGAGACAAACAAGGACAACCTGGACAGGTCTAGAATGAAGTGAAGAACAGGATCGAAGGAAACACGTTTCTCCAGTGGACTCTGTCAGAGAGATGATTAGATGGCCGCAGCCCCTGACTAACCAGCCACGATCGGTTGCATCGAGCCAAACGGGTTCGCACACATGTAGTGCTCCATATGCTTGGCACAATACAGGCAACCACAGGATGACCCGTGGCCCGTCCACACGCTCTGCGCGAAAGGTAGCGCATAAGCGGGGGTGTGGTGGTAGGACGGAGGCTGGGAGCGAGGGGCCGGTGGAATGTACTGCTGGGGCGGAGGAACCCAGGTACGCGAGTATGGCGGGGGAGGCTGTGTGTACCACGGCCCAGCTGCGTAGTAGTCCGGAGTGTTCGGTCCCGTGTGAGGTGCAGAGGGCGGCGAATACTCCGACGCGGCAGGGTTCAGCCACGAGGTTTCATAGCTAGTACTGCGCTGGTACTGGGGTGGGATCGGCCCCTCGGGCGAGAGCAAAGGCTTCGACACGCGGTGGCTGCGGGAGACATTCGTGTCGATGGGAGCCAAGGCATGGCGGGACTCTTGCGCCCGAGCAACGGTCTTGGTACGCCAGGTTTCCCAGTGAGACAACCATGACGCAAAGCCATCTTGTTGATCGTAGATCCGGTCGTGAATCTTCCACTCGAAGGCAAACAGCCAGTCGAGCTCCATCGAGTTCAGCTCGCTCACAGGGATGTTGCTAACTTCAGCCCAGGACTTGTTCTGGAAGGTGTTGTCGTCCAAGAACTTGCTTCCCAGAAGGAGGGCCACGGTAAGCATGCGGTAGACCTGGCCACTGCCGGTGTGGAACACCTTGGTGGAAGAAAGCATGCGCATCCTGCTGGCTAGGTAGTAGAGTCCCAGAAGGATGGTGGAGCTCGGGAGACGAGTGGATGACAAAATCTGGTAGACGTATTTCCGGAACTGAGGGGGGACCGACGATCCTGGGTAGACGCTTCGCGCTAAGTCAATATCTGCTAGGTTGATCTTGGTGATGTACAAAGCATACATTCCCTGGGCCATCTCAGCCACAAAGTCGGACATCTGGTCCATCTCATAATCCAAGTGGGCGGCGACACCTCCAGTGGCCTTTTCCTCCTTGCGCTGGGGTTCGGGCTGCGCCATCATCTCTTGGCGTCGGTATTGGGGCGGGATGGCACTCTCCATCGGGGGCAACTGAACGTTGTTGCGGATGGGAGGCAAGACGTTGGCGGTACCCAGAGGACCGAACATGGGCTGGTTGAGCGCTGAGTGAGCGGCGACCATATCCCGGCCATTGCGGACGCCCAGAGCGGACTGCGAGTTCATGGGCTTGGAGTAGCAGGTCGACTGGGAGTACTGCTCAATGAAATCACAGCCGTTCTGGGGGTAGCGAGGCGGGAATGCGGCCGAGGGACCGAGGAGGTAGAAGGGTTGATCGTGTTCCATCCTGCCACCGCTCAAGATATGGGGAGGAGTAGGAGGAAGGCCCTGGAGGCCGGGAGCGAAGAAAGACGGCATAATGAAAATAAAAGAAAAAGCAAAAGAACCAGTTCAGGACGGGAAGGTAGACGGTCTGAGGCTGTAACAACGGACAATATCCCGAGTCAGTAAATGGGGTTTCAATGGGACGAAGGGCAATCTCAAAGAGCAAATTGAGTGAAACACCAAGTAAAACACAAGATACGAACCGTCTACACGTTCGCCACGCCCTGATCCTGGGGGGGTAGAGCAAGTGCTCAACGAGCCGCGGCTCTAGATAATTTCGTAGTGAATGCTTCTTAGTTGAATAACATGGAGGAACAATTCCACGGCACGAATGTCGAAAGGAGCGGACGGAGCGGTCGCGACTAAGATGTCTCTTCGGGAAGTTCTTCCTTGCCGGGGAGGAGCGGTCCTGTAGCGGCACGAGTCTGGTGATCCCTTTCTGTTTTTTTACTTCCGGTGTTGTAAGGCGGGCAATTGATCGAACACGAGGCTGTCGAGGACGGAGGCGAAAAGGGACGGAGTTTGACGGTAATCACCGGAGACGCGTGGGGACGCTCAACAATGAATAGCAAGCAGCAAAGGATGATGTAGTGGAGGGAGGCAACAGGCGAGAGACGTTGAGATTCTTTCTTTTTTTCTCCTTTCTTCTTTTTTTATGATTTTGTGTAGGTGAAGGATGAGAAAAAAAAAATTGGAGCAAAACAAGTTCTCGCGTTTGGTGGGAATTAGCCCCGATCCACAGCGACAACGACACTTAGTGAAAAGCTCGTTGGGGTATAAGGGAGTAGAAGATGGAGAGTGCAAAGGGAGGGGGAGAGGGGATTGAGGGAGGTAAAGTTGCAAGAGCAAAAAGCGAAGATGGTGAGAGAAAGTGTAGAGAGGAGGGGGAAGAGGATTGGAGAAGTAGGTTAGAGAAGGGGAAGAGGGAGAGGGGGGAGTGAGTGGGAGGATGGGGAAGAGAAGAGAGACGGAGAACGAGAGGTGGAAAGGCAAGGCGAGAGAGAGCCACAAGCCAAAGCAGGAGACCCGACGAGAAAAAACGAAGGGGAGAGCGGCTGCTTAGTGGTCCGAGGTGTCAGAGAGAGTCTAGTCTAGTGAGAATTGAGGAGGTGACGATCCCCGGCTCACTTCTTTTCTTCGCTGCTCTTCTGACTAACGAGTAACACCAATACACCCTCTGGTTCTGTCACTCTTGTCTCTGTTGTGTCGTGTCTGGCTAGGTTGGGTCTGTCTAGTATTCGAGTCGTGATCCTTCACAACATCCACTGGGTTTCCTGCCATTGATTATGTAGCCTTCTCTGCCTGTTCACCATATCATGCCCTGTTCTACCTATCCGAGCAATGGATGGGATATTCCCTTTCTATTCCTTTTCCCTTTTCTATTCTCATTGTTATACTGTAATTTTAAACAATAAAAAAAAAAAAACGATAACTACATTGTAAAGTAACCTATGCCCCCTACCCATCCTTTTTTTTTTTTTTTGTTGTTTTAATTATCATTAATAACTTTTTTTATCTCCTGTCCATGATCCTCCCGGCAAGTCCTCCGTTAGGGGAACGAGACCATCGGAATGGACCCATGGCCAGGTCAGTGTAAGGGAAATGTATCAGGTTTAACAGCAATTAAATTTCCCTCGAGAATATTTTTAATCTTTGTTCCCCCCAAAGTGAATAAAATCGTAGCCAAAATTTACATCATTAATATTAAACATTATTATTAAGATCAGTGGCATCTGCCTATGAGGGAATGAGGCAAATAAGAATTTCTCTTCCTTTATTATGACGCAGACCAGGTACCGATTTAAATCGCAACCACCACGATCGAAAGGGAAAGGGAGGAAGTTACCAGAACGATCGTAGTGATGAATGGGGACAGGGTACACACCACTGTCAGACCAAACAGAATCCCAGCCGCAACACCCGAGTGAAGCAGTCCCAAGTAACTACTAGGCTAGTAACATCCTTAGTAGTTGAGTTACCTACGGCTTTCCACGGAGTACACCTCATGGGGTTGGAGGGTTGTTTAGAGTTTTCAGAGTTTTCCCTACTATTTTCCATTAGAGCCCAGCTAGAGGAGAGGGGGAATACCCAGTGATGATGATGGAACGGCCGTCCTTGGGAGAGGGTGGAGGAGTTGACTAAGGCATGTTTAGGATGAAAGAGGGAACCTGAAATTAAAAAAAATAAAAATAAAAATAAAATAATAAAAAAAATAATAAATTAAATTGAAAAGAGGAAGGGAAAGGTTGAAGGAAGAAAGGGCAGAGGAGGGGAGAAAATAGAAGTTGAAAAAGGAAATAATAAAAAATAAAATTAAAAAGACAAAAAAGGAAAAAAAGAAGAGGTCAGAGGGAAGGGAAAAGAAAAAAATAAAAAGAGGGGACCAACCAGCCGACCAGTAAGACTTGACCGACTGACCAAACCGCCTCCACCGTAACGCTGCCGAACGGCCAGGTTACTTCAATCTCAGACCCAGCTTTTCTCACCAACTTTTCTCTCGCCCATGAAAAGACCCGCGGCCAGAACGGAAAGAGAAGCCCGGGTCCATGGTTGAGGGATGCTTACTCACCCTCAACAACAAGCAATCTTAATTTAGCATCTTGCACACGGATAGCGATATGAATTCATCGTCTATTCTCTTGAGTGTACTGTACTGGATTGTTGGTTGACTGAGGTATCAATTTCAAAAGTTCCATATGTATTCCATTTCAATCAGTCAGTCCATCCGTCAGTCATCAGGTGCAATACGAGCAAAAGGTCATGTTACTGGATGAATAGTAAATTAAGTGTCAGATGGCATGGGCGGGAAATGCTTCAAATCCAGCACCGGACAGGACGGCCGGGAGTCAAAGTAAGTCAAGTAGGCACTCTGACTGCAACTCCATCCAATAATCGACTGCACGACCTGCGTCGTCGGCAGAGACAGACAGACAGAGAGGCAGAGGCAGAGGCAGAGGCAGAGAGAGGCAGGCCAGCCAGCCGGACGGGACCAGACCAAAGACCCCTGGGGCGGGAGGACTCCGGCCGGTCAGACTGTTTAGGACTGGTAACTTACGTAGTGTGTCTTGTCTATCTACCGGCAGTTTTTACTCCCCTTTAACTAAGGGGGTCAGCGAGCAGTTCGTGGTGACCGTTAGATTATTAACGGCTAAGAAGGGGGGAGAAGGAAAGGAAAGGAAAGGAAAAATCCTCGAATCCACTTCGGTTACTACTGTACTGAATAGTCTTGTCTTGCATTTTTGTCTTGTCTTGACTTGACTTGACTTTGACTTAAGGAAAGATTATTAATTGCTTTTCCGAGTAAAAACGGAGTAAGTAGTAATCTATTCTAGATCCTGCTCGGTAGATTTGATAGTTTACAAAGGGTATCTAGTATTAAGTAAGATACCAAGGATACCATTCATTAAAGTGATGCAGGCGCAAAAAGTGACGAATTGACCCAATCAATCCCCGGCAGGCAATCGTCATTCCCTTCATTGGCTGCAGCCCGTGGGCAAATAGGGAGTGGAACAGGAGGGAGGCAGTGCGAAAGCTGCCTATCGTTCACCAGACAAGAGGAATGAATGGGAATGGGGGGGGTGGAGGCAAATGCAACTGCAAGAAGCCCAAGGCGTCACACAGAAAGGTTGAAAGGTGACATAAAGTGACTGACTGATCTGATGATGATCAAATTTAGTTGTAAGTTGAGGAGAAAAATAAGAGCAAGTACACTACTTAGTAGGATTGAAAGTGACAGGCGGTGTCTTACTCCGTAATGGTAGTGCTCTGAACACTTTCAGTTGTGGGTGGACAGCGCTAGGGAGGACCTCGAACTGCTTCGAAATGGGTGGGACGTGCGCCCCGTGCTAATTTAGAAAGAAAAAGAAAATTCAAGAGGAAAATAAAAAAAAAAAAGGGTAAGGGGAGAAAAACGTGTCTTGAGTGGTACATGGGACTAGTCGGTCTGTGGCTTGGCTT